TGACAGAGAGAGGCAGGCAGCAAGGGCCACTCACCTGGCTGGAAGGAGGAAAAAGCAATAACTCCTTGCTTGCCCATCACTCACACCTCCCTGTGCCTGGCTTTCACCAGCAAAGCAGAACACGGAACATTTCCAAGGGAAGAGTGGGGTCAGCACCGTGCCCATCTGGGAGAGCAGCACAGATGTGCAGAAGGGCAGCACCTCACTCCAGGCTGGCAGTGCCACCCCTGTGCCCTTTCCCTTTCCCAGATAGAGGCAGATTCCTGGGCTGCTGCAGCCACGTGTCCTGGTTATTTTTATCCTGGCAGTTCAATGCTGAATCGTGGCTACTATAAACAAACCTGTTTCATTCTCAACTTGGAAATGTTCTCCGTGCCAGTTTTCTTCAGTTACTATAAACTAGGCCATGGAAAGTGGTGGATTTTCTTTTTTTAAAAGTGTCAACTAAACATTGCTCAACACTCTACCAAAACCCCTCCATTACTCAGAGCCATGTTGGCAAAACAAACCCAAACCCAGCACTTGTGCAAGGGGGAGATTTACAGCGATCAAAGCCACACTTGAGCTGACAGATTCCCTCCAGAGTAAAAACAAAGAGTCCAAACAAACAGAGAATGATGCAGCAGCAAAGGCTGGAAACTCCAGGCCAAACATCTCCCCTTGAACCAGCCTAGCTCCTGGCTCTGCCCAAGGACAGCTCCACTCAGCACTGCTCCCTCATGTGTTCTACACCGTGCTCTGAGGGGTTAAATTACTCAATGGTGTCTAAAGCACATGAAATACTTCCCTAATGCTGACCAAAGCTGTCAGCAATTACACAATGGCTCCAGAGCTGTGCAGGGAACAGGGATGTGCACCCCAAAGGAAAGGGGCTTGTGGAAATCCCACAGCTGGGAACAGGGATGTGCACCCCAAAGGGGGACTGGCACAAATCTCACAGCTCAGGAACAGGGATGTGCACCCCAAAGGGGGCTGGGATGGAAATCCCACACTCCTTAGCAGACACCACCCCTGAGATCACCCTGCTAGTTAGCAAGGAGTCTGTTTAATTAATACCAATCACTGCCATGGCCTCACTTGTTCACAAAACTCTCACAAAACCTTCTCCAAGGCAGTCAGAGTCCCTGGCTCCAGGGCACAGGGAAAACTCCTCCACCTTTCCTGAGGCCGCCAACCCCAGAGAAAGGAGAGGGAAGAGGAAAACAAAGGACTAAAAGACCAGACTAAGCAGAAAGCAGGACTCCAATGTGACTTCAAAAGCACAGTTTGACAAACTTCCGCTCACAGACTCCGCATTTATTTCCTTGCTCATTATCACTGCGGTCTCTGACACCACAGCAAGTGTGTTTTAGGTACTAACATTACATAAGAGGTAACATTTTATAATTTGTACCAGAAATCTCAGCCTCAGTTTGGTAATTTTAACACCAAACTCATTATCATTTCCACTGCCTGCTTTCAGCATCAAATCAAACACCAATCAAGGCAGCAAAGGTGTAATTAGCTAAGCACAAGCCTGCTGTGGGGTGAGTCATGACCCCACTGAGGTGCATTCCTGATGCTGGAAGATGCAGGCTGTCCCTTGCCCAAACCATCAATAATCCAGGTGTAAATGGATTTTCCTTTTGTTTTTCAGATAACAAATAACCCCAAAAAGACCCAGCAAGAAGCACACACAGAAAATGAGGCTGGTGACAAACCAAACAAGCAAACAGGTATGTGAGAGCACAGGAGAACGATGTGGGTCAGAGGCGTTATCTGAAGAGTTCCATCAGAAAAGGCAAGAGAGCAGCCCTCAAACCCTGCATCCATTCCCAAAACCACCAGCCAGGTGCGTGCAGCTCAGAGCCACATCCCAGCCACACTTTCTGCATCACCCCACACCTCCTGAAGCCTGGCAGGCTCCTGAGCCAGGGCCATAAAGGCTGGGCACAGAGTAAAGTCCTCCAGCAGCAGAGCCTGGGCTGGGCTGGAGCTCCAGCAAATTAACTGCAGCCCACACAAACACGGCCCAGAGACAAGCTCCTTGGAAAACAGCAATAATTCTGCCATGGGAAATAGTCATTTTGTGCACAAACACTCTGGGATTGATCCTCCTCAGCCTGCAATCTTTTGTGCAATCAGCCTCACGCTGAACCTGCAATTTCAAATAACATAATGTTAACTTCTATGGAAGTGGCTGCCTAATTATTCACTGGAAATTGCTCTGCCATAGAAGCTCTCCAGGCAAGGAACAAGGGCTCTGGGCAGCTAAAGCCTGCCGTGCTGAAACGGCTAATTTATTTTTTGTCCTATTGCTCTGCACTTGCAGAAAGTTGCTAGGGACATGTGCCAGCCAGACAAAGGCAGGGGAGAGGAAGCCAGCAGCACAACTCAGAGCCCAACACACTCTGCATCCCCAAATTAGAACAAAGCCCTACGTCAGGGGCTGGAGCTGGCAGCTGCCCTCCAGCCAGACTGCAGCACTCTGCAAAGGCATGCCAACCAGGGCTGCAGGCAGGGCACAGCGCTGGGCACACCGAGGCAACACACGCTGCTCAATTCCCAATGTCTGGGATGGTTTGATGGCAGGGATGGCAGGGACAAGGAGGGCAGGGATGGCAGGGACAAGGAGGGCACAGCTCCTCCTCCCAAGCAGCACCACGGCCACATTCACCATTTCTCCTTTTCCATGCAGCCCCATTGGAGCAGCTCAGCAGAGGGCTGTACACCATTCACAGGAGTTCTCCACAGCTTTTTTTTGGAAGAAAAAATAAAAAAACACTTCCTTTCCCCGTTCCTCATCAGGCAAAGACGTAAACATTAAAGGGCAAATCTGCCATTAGGCACAGCAGCCGCTCAGGGCACTTCCTCCTTTTGCTGCCTATCACATCCACAACTTGCCACTGATTTTTAAGCCCTGTCAAGTTTTTCATTCCTCTCAATTTCCTTTAGTGGGAAAAATATTCTGACCTTTTATAAAACAGATTAAATTCCAGACAGACCTGAGGAGGCTCAGTGGTAGCAAAGACCAGCTCCATTCTACTTGCAAGGAATAATTTGCTGTGCTGATAGTAGCTTGGCAACATTCGCCCCTATTCTTCCTGGTTTATATAATTAAGAGTAAATAAGTGACATGAGGTAGATAGATTGCCACCGAAAGTTCAGCCTGCACTTTAATTATTTTATTTCTGCAGTAGTAGTGACGAGACATTGGCCATAAAGCCCAGTTTGAGCTTACCTGGTCTCCAGCATATAAAATATAATAGAGAGAAGAAGCTTCCATGCCACTAGGGGTTCTTTGAAACTTTTCAATCAAGTTGGAGAGGTTCAAACTGCTCTTCCCACGTATTTCAAGCTGACAGTGGGTAGGTTAAGATTGGGTATTGGGAATAAAGTCTTTACCCAAAGGGCAGTGAGGCCCTGGCATGGAGCAGCTGTGGCTGCCCTGGAGCCCTGGCAGTGCCCAAGGCCAGGCTGGACACTGGGACAGGGGAAGGTGTCCCTGCCATGGCACTGGATGGGCTTCAGGTCCTTCAACCCAAACCATTCCATGATTCTATGGCTTACACCCACCAGTGATAAACCCTAACACCAAGCCTCTACACATGGGGCACATCCCAGCCCTTCAGGAGACCCAGCTAACTCACAAACCCCAGAAAATACTGAGATTCTTTAAATGTGCCTGGCACAGCTGCCATAATCTGTGTTTGCACACTGGCTGTGACCGTGCAGCCCGTTCTAAAGGTCAGCTCTGC